AAACAGAAAGCAAACAGGCTCGTAACCAATGAACCAAATTGCTGACAGTGAAGAAAGAATGAACCCGAGCAAGCAAGCGACCTAGATGCGACACGCCGACATCGCACTCATATAAAGATGGAGAATCTTCTGATGGGATCCCTCTTTTAGCATCACCAACACACCACTCTCCAGCGCAACGATGTCACGACCACCAACGTTGGACAACCCCAACCCCAGCGAGTCCCCTCCGCCAGAGCTCCTAGGCCACTTCGCCTATGCAGTCATCATCCACATCCGCAGCGAAACCGACCCAGAAGACGTCGTCGAAATCTCAGGAGTGTACGCGAACTTCAAGGATGCCGTCTCCATGCTCAAGAAGCAGCGCTTGACCATCGAGGACGGATACATCCCCCCGGAGAACGCCGAACAGCGCGACAAACATCCTTTCCGCAACAGGATCGGAGAACTCCGCAGAGAGGACGGAACGCTCATCGGTTGGGGTTACTCTTGGTACCGCATGTCCAAAGACTACGTCAACCGTGTGTGGATCCAGAAGACCAAGCTTTGGCGCCGCGGTGACGGGGCCTTCGGCGTCGAGGAGTTGAGCGAAGAGGAAATGCAGGAATTGAAGGCTGAGGGCGACATCGATTACGTTGCCTATGTGCAGGGCGGACCGGAAAATGCTTTCTTCCACGAGCCATCTCAGGACTTCGTCTTCGAGGGCGAAGAGCGCTACAAAGAGAGCTACAAAGACTACAGCGGCGAGACGCTTGACCCGTGAATAAGGAGGTCGGCCTTTAGGGGATCTTTGATACCAGAGAGGAGATCGATCGCCTTGAGAGTGAGCTTGAGGAGGATGAGCGCGAGATTGACGAGATTTGAGGATGACGACCGTGGGTTACAAGGAAACGGCGAAATGCACTTGATGGATGAACGGCGAACATGGGGTTTTGTGGTGTGATGAGTGCATGGTCTGTATGCACCAAGATCCGAGATGCTGATGGAGCCTGTATCCTACAACTTAGCTACTACACAAGCGGCTCAATTGATGTGCTGCGAAAAAATGAGATTGGAAACTTGATCCAGCGTTACGCGTCAACCTTCTCCTGAATCGGAAATCGACCGCCTTTTAACGCCATGTACACTCTTGATATGGCGCATCAAATTGTCTTTTCGCCCAAAAGATCTAGCACAGGCTGGGACAGAGCATACCAAATCCTTTTTCTTGAGGTGTACGTCCTTGTTGTGTCGATGTAAATCTGCTCGGAGGCCGAAACGCAAAGAACAACCATCGACTCGACAAGGATGCTGCTTCTGGTGCACGGTGCTGAAATGTTTACTGCCTAAGTCAGCACATGTCTAAAACATTCACGGCACAGTAAACCCTACCTATAAGCTCTTTTGCTAATGCAAATTTTGGCGCAGCCGTCTGCTCGACAGGTGATGCTACCGACAGGTGCTTCGATCCTGGGCTTGGTCAGCTGTGGAGTTGCATTTCTTAAGGCAGCCACACTTACGAAGGTGATTCCCAAGGGGCGGTCAAGTCCGAAGGGGAAGGAACATCAAGCCAGTCCGAGAATGACATGCCCATTGCCGTCCCCACCGATGAAGGTGAGGAAAGCGAATTGTAGCCGTCGGTCGATGATGGTACGGGCGGGGTAGGATTGGTGTAGCATTGCAGCCATGTAGTCGCTTCAAGCTGCTGTGATACGAATGGCGGCAAAATTGGACCTCCAGAGTCAGGTTGAACAAAGTCCGCATAATCCGCCGTTTCGAAATCGTCAGTATTTGCAGTAGACTCCTGTTCATGTTGAGGAAAAAAAATGCACAGTTGTGAAATCCGGTCTCTTCTCGGGTGAAGAGTGCGTGATAGTCGAAGGCAAGTGAGTCTTGTGTGTAGTTGTGGGTGGAAGCCGAGGTTTGGGCAAGTGATGGCAATTGTTGACCATTTGAATTTGAAACGGAAGGAATTAGAAATGCCTGTGTCTCAGACTGGCAGTGTTTTCGAGTTTCCACTGGCAGGAGATCTGTCCCAGGCAGCACATCTTTAAAGTGGCAGAGCCGACTGGCCCCGACACTTACATGCGTGTAGTTGCCATTGTAAATATGTGACTGAAGTGTGTTGAGAGTCTTGTGCTCGCTATTGTGAATGTTGAGCTTGGGGTGCCCAGGTCATGGGCAGAAGTTGTATTA